ATTGCATTCCCAGGCTATAATCATAGTGCTGGATGGGAAGTGGAGCAGCCAAGACATGAACTAGCACCTATGTGGGATGCTGCACTTACAGATGGAGGATTAGCTAGTTGAGCTATTGTGCCAGCTTCCCCCTCCATGTTTATTTAAATAAATAAATGAATACTGAATAAAAGGTGAATATACATGGTCCACCGAGATGATAAAAAATGATCCTTCCACATTGCAACTTGAAAGCATCTTGTCAGATGGTCAGAAAGAAGGGAGAGGGTATTGCAGGTAGAATGAAGATTCCCCCTGCCTCACATATTTTTGGCACTTGGTGGACATTTGAATGGCTGCAGAGAGACCCTGAACATAGCTGCAAGGCTCTTCCATGATGCCCCTTGTCTTTACTCCTGCCGCATCCTATAGCTCCTGTCCAGGATTTGAGCATCAGACTATGCAACACAGAGAAGCATTTATTAACAACATGAACAATCAATACTATAATCATTTTGCACAACAATCCCCAGCCCCTGGATTCCAGTGTGCTGTGTTGTCTGCTGCCAACAATATGCCTCCATGACTCAGTATGATAAGTGTAAGGTTCCTTTGGCTCAGTGGATCCCAATCTTGGCTGCACTTTCAAATCATTGAAAGCTTTAGAGGAAAATACTAATGCTTGGGCCTTACTTCAGATATTCTTTTAAAAAGATTTACTTAGTTTTAATTGAAAAGTAGAGTTACAGAGAGAGAGAGAAAGAGAGAGAGAGAGAGATCTTCCATCCACTGATTCATTCCCCAAATGACCACAATGGCTATGGCTGGTTAGATCTGAAACCAGGAGTTTCTTCTGAGTTTCCCACGTGGGTACAGGGGCCCAAGGGCTTGAGACATCCTCCTCTGCTTTCCCAGGCCATTATCAGGAAGTGGATCAGAAATGGAGTAACCAGGAGTTGAATGAGTGCCCCTCTAGAATGGAGGAACTGGGCTTGGCACAATGGCTCAATGGCTAAATCTTTACCTTGCAAGTGCCAGGATCCCATATGGGCACTGGTTCATGTCTGACTGTTACACTTCCCATCCAGCTCCCTACTTGTGGCCTGGGAAAGCAGAGGAGGATGATCCAAAACCTTGAGACCTTGTGCCCATGTGGGACACTTGGAGAAGGCTCCTGACTCCTGGCTTTGAATCAGTTCAATTCTGGCCATTGAGACCACATGGAAAATGAACCAGTGCATGAAAGATCTGTCTCTCTTTTTCTCTGTAAATCTGCCTTTCCAATAAAAAACAAATAGATCGTCAAAAGAAAAGAAAAGAGAAGAAAAGAAACGAAAGCAGCATATGTGGAGGCTTAATGTAATACTACAGCACTGGATTACCCAGGAGTTCTCATGTAGTTAGTAATGGTGAGCCTGGGCCTCAGCTTTTTAAAAAAGCATCTTGTTTTTATTGCACAGCCAGTGTGTGAGTTCCTGCTGGACTCAGATGATTGTTTGCAATCTGCCCTTGGTGGGTAATGAGATTGCTGGCTCTGGCAGAACACGCAGCTGAGACCAGGGGCCAAAACGGGAGAAGGACATTTGTTTCTCCAGGGTCTTTATCTTAAGGTCTTGCCTTCCTGTGGCTAACTTGGTAAATAAATCTCAACCACAGTGTGAATGGCAGATCACAGTTAGATGCTACTTCCTTTCCAAGGGGCAGGAACTGAACAGGGCCTTCGCTCAGAGAAAGTCCTGACTGGGGGACTTACAGGCTCTGTGGCTAGGCCCCATGGGCAGATGGCTTGAAGTAGCCTCAAAGCCAATTCACCCCTGCTCCTCTACATCACAGCAAATGGCAACTCCATCCTTCCCGTCAACGCCTGCCTTTGTCTCACCCCCTACATGCAATTGTCACTAAATCATCTTGGTTCAATCTTTGGAATATATCCAGAATGCACTCACTTTCTATCATCTCCATTATTACCATGCTAGCCCAAGTGTTCAGCATGGTTTAATTAGATTATTGTAGGCACAGATATTGCAACTAAAGACTGATCTCCCTCTTGTCCTTGTGTGACTATTCTCTGCTTTCCACCAAGTAGCCAGAGTCATCCTTTGCAAATGCATGGCTGACTCTCTGCTCACAACCCTGTAATAGAGCAAAATCTGGGATCTCACCCTGACTGACAAGGCCCTGTGTGACCCAGCCTCCGGCTGCCTCTCTGAGTACATGCCTTCCTGCTCCCCCTCTATCACTCTATGCCAGTCTCATCGCACTTCCTTCCTATTCATCATATACCCCAATCCTACATTGTCCTCTGTGTCTGTACTCTTCTTTCTATCTGGAAGCCTCTTTCTCCAGATGGTTTCACGGTTGTTTCCCTTTCACTTCCTGCAGGTCTCTACTTAATTATCGCCTCCTCACATTGGGTCTTCACTAAAATAACACCTTTGCAATCTCACCTCTGGGTACATAGCCAAAGAGATGGAAATCTGTATGTAGAAGAGATATGTGTGCTCCTGTATATCCTTTGTAACAAAATTCACAACAGCCAAAACTTATATTCAATGTAAATGTCCACTGACAGATAAGATAAACAACTTGTGCCATATACATAGATGGAATAAGATTCAACCCTTGGGGAAAAAAATCAGTGGCTTGCAGCAACATGAATGTCTATTAGGCTAAGTGAAATTAGGTACAGAAAGACAAAAACTGCATCATCTCACTTACTTGTGGAATCTTAAAAAGTCAAAGTCTCTACTTTAGAGAGTAGAATGGTGATGACCAGTGGCTGGGGGCTTGGGCGTGGGTGAATGGCAATATTCGAAAGGACCAGCACAGGTCTTCCAGTGCCAAAACGACTCCACTTGGCTCATTCACTTCACATACCATCAGCTTGTGGAGCAGATTTAGAGGGAAACCCTCTTTGGTCACTTCTTGCCCAATGTCCATGGAGCCCAGGATGATGCACTCAGATGCTGGTCAAAGGATACGAAATTCCAGGTAGAGCTTTATTGCACAAGATGGTGACTGGAGTTAATAATGTGCTGGATATTTCAAGATTGCTAAAATAACACTCCCACCATTGCTACCTTCATGCACTCAGTCTTTTGTGTAGCACCCTAGTCTGCTTTGCTTTTCCTCAAAGAGTAGACTCTCCTTATCCTCAGTTGATGCTTTTCAGGATCCCCAGGGGATGCCAGGGACTGCAGGTAGGACAGAACCCTATATGTTCTGTGTTTTTCTCTATGTATACTTTCCTGTCCCTGGATTTATCTTCAGTATGAACACTAATAAGAGATTAACAATAGCTACTAATAAAATAGAATATTTATAACTATTTACTGTGATAAAAGTCATTTAATTTGGGATAGGAATTTGCTGTAGAGGTTAAATCAATCTGTGGAACACCTGCAAATCCCTTTTGCAGTACCTGGGTTTGAGTCTCAGCTCTGCTTCTGATCCAACTTCCTGCTAAGACACACCCTGGAAAGTGGAACGTGATGGCTCAAATACTCCCATGCAGGGCACTCAGATTGAATAACAGTTCTAATTTGCTGCACCCCTGGCTGTTGTGGGCATTTGGAGAGTGAACCAGCCAATTGAAGGTCTCTGTCTCTGCCCTCCCTACTGATTTTCAAATAGAAATGAATACACCAGTCAAGACATTGAAAATACATAAAATTATGGTGCTGATAGTGCTAATTCATATTTTAAAAATTAACAAACAAAAAACAAATGAAACAAAACACAATAACCTTCTGGGATCATCACTGAGATCCAGTTCATTTGCCTGTTGGGATAGCAGCATAATGAAATACTTAGAGTCCTGCCTCTACTTCTGGTCCACTTCCTGCTAATGTGCCTGAGGATACAGAAGATGATGACTCAAGTACTTGGGCTCCTGTAACTGACAAGGGAGACCTGATTGGAGTTTTTGGACCTTGGCTTCAGCCTACCCCTATCTTGCTGTTGTGGGCTACAGTGTGAACAATCAGTGAATAAAAGATCTCTCTTAAATAAAAAAGGTTACTTATTGCTGAATTATTTCATTTTCAGAGTATAGAAACAAAGCAAAACTGCAGACAAGGAGGGTGGGTCTACTGTAGTACTTATTTGCCACCTGAAACACACTTGCTATGGTCTATCTGCCCCTGCTGGAAAAGATACTCCCTGGTGTACCATTCACCATCGAAAACAGCAGGGAACACAATAGACCCCCCTAAATTTGTCAAATGAGTGAATGAATACACTTAAAGATGTGGCAGTGCTCCTCAGCGTGCTTTCTGCAGTTCTTGGCTGCTGAGCTTGGTGGAGCTCAACCAGAGTGCTGCAATCCAAGAAGCCCAGAGGAAGCATTACTTTCCAGTGTTTGCTAATCACACTTCCTACTCAAATAGTGGGAGAGTTTTCAAAAGCTAGAGAAGTGCATTGATTCTTTGGGCATTTCTTGTAGAATTAGATGAATAGAGTGATGTGCAGCTCAAAACTAAGCCAGTAGACCTGGGTTATATCTCTCATATTCCCAAATAGTGTGAAACTCTGCATAAGTCATTTTGGCATGGTAGATCTCCTTTCTCCAACATGCAAAAGAGTATTTGTTATGAGCCTTCTTCCTAGGGGCAGGACATGTCAATGAGGTGAATATCATTTTTGCACGTACTTTGGGATGCTTGTGTTCAGATTCAATTAAAATCATGTGGGTACGTCTCACATTAAGAAAACAAAATATATAAAAAAATTATTATATAGTGTTACTGAAGAATTTTGGCCAACTCCCCTATGCCTAGAGAATTAATAATGGGATTCAAGTTACCCAGTACTATTGACGCTCAGCTTTTTCACAACACTTCAGTCATCGCAGGGGAGCGCCTAGCACAGTACCTCGAACCTAGCACATAATCAGTGCATATGTATTAACTCCTCCATCACTAAGCAAAGGACACCTATATGGGAACATCTTAAATCCAATATGACAAAATCCATGCTTTCCCCAGGGATGGAGACTCACCAGCCCTCTGTTCTTTTTCTAGTCTCCCAAATCTGCTTTCATCAGCGCTGCAAAGAAGGCCCAACTGAGATCCCACCCTGTGAAAGTGCGATTTTCTGAGCAGGTCGCAGTTGGAGAAACAGATGCAGTAAGTGCAGCCTTGACCGCCTCTCCCCTGTCCTTGGTCAGAATCAACCTGGCTGTCCCAGTCTGAGGTACCTCATAGTAGATGATGTCACAAAATGGTTGGAGTGGGAGGGTCCCAGAACTGGAGGGTGGAATGTATGGTGTACAGAGGCCCTGGACATTGAGCGAGGAGGCAAACATACTGATTTACTCAGAAACCTCTTGATACTTAGAAAAATTTCTGTCTGTAGTGCAATCGGCTACACTCAGAACAAGTGTGCCATAAACATCTTTTGGAGACTTGAGAGAAGCAGGAAGGAAGTGATAGTTTTCTAAAGATTCAGGGGACAAGTGGCTGGGGAAATTGTAGCTCTCTTCACATGTAAGTGATCCAGCGCCTCCGCATCTCCACTGAAGAGAACTTGGCAGTGATGGAAGCAGCAGCCCATGGGAAACAATACAGGCTAAGTTGCAGTTTTTATTAGGCACCTGCTGTGTCCTCCGCACCACAGTGGATGCAAAATAAATTTTGCTTCCCTACCACTGGATACCTCTCAGTGATGCTAGGGGTTCAAGTGATTCACACTGGGGAATTGTAGAATCTACGGCTGGGTAATATTTGAGAGTGCATGCCAATGTGGCTGTCAAGCAACCTAGCCCACTAATCCACCCTATGCATGGTAGGGATTCAGTGCAATGAGCTATCTACTTCAGATCTGCAAATGAGCTATCTACTTCAGATCTGCAAATGAGAACAGGTACACAGAGAATGGAAAGATGGCTTTTTATAAGTGATGGATTCTATTCCAGAGTTTCTCCCCGCCCCCCCGCCCCCCCGCCCCCCCCCAAGCATCTGCAGGAGTTGATGATAGCTGATTGGAGTGAGAAATGGGAAAGCTGGGAATGATAGGTTGTTTGTGGTTTTATAGGCTGTACCAGGCTTGTTTCACAAGGAGTCCTGGGTACTTATGCACTAAATTGCCTCTCTTTTTTCTTTTCGTTTTTAAAGACTGATTTCTTTTTTTGAAAGCCAGAGTTACAGAGACAGGAGGTATTTTTTTTAAAGATTTATTTTTATTTTTTTTTTTATTTATTGGAAAGGCGGATATACAGAGAGGAAAGACAGAGAGGAAGATCTTCCATCCGATGATTCACTCCCCAAGTGACCGCAACGGCCGATACTATGCCGGTCCGAAGCCAGGAGCCTCTTCCACGTCTCCCACGCGGGTGCAGGATCCCAAAGCTTTGGGCCGTCCTCGACTGCTCTCCCGGGCCACAGGCAGGGAGATGGATGGGAAGCAGGACTGCCGGGATAGAACCGGCGCCCATATGGGATCCCGGGCTTGCAAGGCGAGGAGCTTAACCACTGCGCCACTGCGCCGGGCCCAGGAGGTATTTTTTATCCATTGGTTCAATGTTACATAGCAACCTAAGCCTCCGCCTACAGCAACAGTATCCTATATGGATACCAGTTGGAGTCCCAGCTGCACCACTTTCGATCCACCTGCTTATGGCCTGGGAAAGCAGCAGAGGTTGATTCATGTCCTTGGGCTCCTGACCCCCAAGGAAAACCCAGAATAAGCTCCTGGCTTCTGGCTTTGGATCAGCCTAGCTACACCTGCTGTGGTTATTTGGGGAGTAAAGCAGGGGATGGAAGTTGTCTTTCTCTCTGTGTGTCTCTCTCCGTTTGTCCCACTCTTCTCTCTATAACTCTGCCTCTTAAATAAAAATAAATCTCTTTAAAAGAGGGGATGGTATGGAGTTGCTGCAGATCAGGGTGACACAGACCCCAAAGCTCAAATCCCTGTAGCAACATTTGTGTCCTAAGCCCTTGAAAACCCAGAAGACATAGGATTTAAATTTGAAAAGTGTGGCCAGGTGCAACCTATTCAGTTTCAACATTACAGAATAATTAACCAAGGCCAGGCCACCCATTGACGAACTCTCAGTCCTCTTCTCCCTTCCCCTCCATTCCCCTTCTCTTTCCCCTTCCCTTATTTCTTGTCTTTGTTCTCCCCATTTTTTCTCCTTTTTCCCTTCTTTCTGCACATTCTCCGCTCACAATCACTTCTCTCTCCATACTTTGCAACTAGGCCCCAGGCAAAATCAAGCTAGCTCTCCAGTCCAATGTGAATGCAAACAACCCAGGGTAGCTAAGACCCACCTACTGTCCCTTTTCTTTCTCCTGGATACATCACCAGACATGATGTGAGTCTATTGTCCAGGAGAAACCTCAGTCTTCCAGTTCATCATGCTCAGGAAACCACCTGAGCACCTATATCCTTTGTGCCATTACCACTGGCACAGGTCAGAACAACCTCACTGATTAGAAGCGGGGGGACTCCAGGTCGAGGGGACTCTATGCTGTCCCATCATCCCCTTTCCTTGGTGTTCTGAGGCTTTATTAAGCAGCCAGAGCAAAAATAAATCCCGTGGGCGTTCCTTGCCAGATCTATTTTTAAACAAAATCAATTAAGTAATTATCCAAGTCCAACCCATTGCGCTAAATAAAACCTGCCACTGCTGAGATTCATCAGCCTGGGGATCTGATGCTTCTGGGTTTGGCAGGAACCAGCATTTTAGGATCAGGGAGAGACTTGGGAGTCACAATTTCTCAACTTTTCTATCCCATTGTTTCCCAACTTAGCTTCACCCCAGGCAAACTTGGCCCATGGCCCTACCCCACCAACAGGCATACTCCAGTGCAGGAGGACTTGCTTGTTCCTGTTTCCATGTGATCCCTAGATCTAGATTGGTCTTTTCTGGATTCTGTAACAGTCCAGACCTACGGATTCCCTCAAAGTCAAATCCAATTTACTTTACGTAGGTAATCTTAGCCATTTTGTACCTTTAGGTTTGTTTAGGTTTTATAATGTTTATGTGTATCAAGCCAGTATAATAGGAGTGTAAGACTGAAGTCAAATTCTCAGTTTTGCTATAACTTGCATGGGGATTTGGCAACAGTGCAGAGCATTCCCATTGAATTAGGGAATCTGTTCATCTGTGCAGTTTTTGAGTTCCTGTAGAAGTGATAGTGTTGGCTCAGGGAAGTGGTTGGAGTGTTCTGACAAGTCTAATCATTCAAGTAAGCACACACTAAATGTGTACTGCTCATTCATTTTGTAGTCATTTATTGAGCACCAGCCATATGCCAGGAATTTTGTTAAGTGTGGTGAAAACAGAGATGAATAGGATAGGGCCATTGGGCTCTGAGTTCACTAATTGATTTCAAAGCAAAAACAAAACATGTTCTTCAGCAATATGATAAGAACATTGAGCATGGTGTTCATAAATTGTGGTAGGAATATATAAAATTCAAGACTAAATATAAAATATTGCTGATATTGGACCAAGACTTTACAGAATACGTATGTATTGCTGAGTTTGGGAGGATGAATAGGAGTTTTCTAATGAGGGGAAGAATAAGGCAGAGGGGAAGAATAAGATAGTCCAGTCAATAAATAAACCCTGAGCCAGGGAATCTTTTTGCTAGGAGTTTAGTAGGTGCTCTGAAATGTGCTTTGCCAACGGTTCTCCAACAGGGCAAGTACTGCATACTCTCAGAAAGCTTTTGGAAATGCTTGAGAGCGTTCTGCATCGTCATCCTAAAGGTTGTCCCAGTGGCATTTAGTATTTCAGGATCAGAGATACAAGCATACTTCATCACTGAGGATTTGTCAGAAGTATAGAGGTATGAGAAAGGCATGGGTACTATGGATACGGGGGATGACAAGACATGATTCTGGAGAGGTAGGTAGGGGGCTAGGTCGGAAAGACCTACAATGCTGGGAGGGAGGAGAATGGCCCAGCAAAGATATGGAAGGGGAAAAGATCTCACCTGGTAAATGGCATGTGGAAAGGGAGAGAGGAAGTGCCAGGAGGTAAGATCAGGTGAGTGAGGTGGGCTCCAAAAGAAGCCTTTCATCGGACTTTCATCGGCTCTGCCCTAAGCTGTGGAGCTTTGAACCCCAACAGAAGGCATGTTTCCCAAGGTGTCAATGAGGACACTTTTGATACAGTCTGGTGTCTTCTTGGGGAATTTGGTTCTGGACTTCATGTAATGTTATTTATTCGTCTGCTTTTTCCTGTCTCTGTCTGCCCACACTTTTGACTCCCTATATACCTTCACCCCCTTCTCTCTTGCCTTTCCATACCCTTTCTGATTCCCTCCTCATTGAGCCTCTCCTCTTGACCTTTCCCTGCCTGTTCACAGAAAATGATGAAGAAAGAAGCTCTTCTTCTCATTCCCAATGTCCTGAAAGTTTTCTTGGAAAACGGGCAAATCAAGTCATTCACATTTGATGGCCGGACCACTGTTAAGGTACATAATGTTTCCTCTCCTAGGTTAGCATTGCCCTCTCTAGAACACATAACAGCTGTTTGGCCCACGTTCCTCCAAATCTGCCTGTAGCTGATCATTACTGGAGTAGGGTGGCCTTTGAGTTCTAAGTTCTTGTGAACAAAAGCACCCAGGCCTCCAATGGTGGAAATAAAAGGACCCAGGCCTCCGTTGAAGGTGGTGGTGGAAACTTGTATACCCAATTGTGTTCTTCTAGTGATTGTAAAAATGTATTGTGAGTGTGTGGGTACATAGGTAGGCATACCTGCTTGTGTGAGCTGCTTTGTGTTCCAGTGATGCACGATCTTTAGGACTCTGGGGGACTAAAGAATGAAAGATCATTAAACTATTCATAAAGCATAGTGATTTATATTGATATAATAACACCTACACAAGTTTACACAGAGAAGTAAACAATCACAAACTCCTGGGAGATTAGCTTAGCTATGCCTTGCTTTTTAAAATAACAATCAGATCTCAAGCACTGAACCAAGATTTGAAAAGTCCAGCCACAATCCCCTTGGCTGTTTTTTTTTTTTTCTATTTTCACAGGAAGAATAATTACTGGGCTGTGATTCTTAACAGCTCAGCCAAGCGTCAAAAAGTCCTAGTGATTCTCTTAATTTTGAAGAGTATAGGTGATGACACGATAACCTGTAGGTTAAATCTGCTCTGGAATAGAAGTATCTGTTCCTGTTTCATCTGGACTGTTTCCAGAAAGAAGAATGACAGTTCTAGAATGAATGACCTAATTGAACCAATGCTGCCTAATTTGCTGTGCAGCTATACAACCTACCCAGAAAACCAATCATGGCTAACAGATGTCTTGTGGTTCTTATACATAGTGGCTTAAACCACTCTAAATCCCAGGACCAGGAATTTTTGCTAAGAGAGGTTATCAGTTGCACAGTATGGGCCTTGCTAGTGGCTTTCAACCAGGATTATAACTGTCCACTCTCAGAGAGCTCTTGAGAATGAGTGAAGGTTTGGGGAGTCATCCCAATGATTTGCCAGCTACTAGCAATTAATGTCTCAGGTGTTCTGTAGGAAAGGAGGGAGACATTGCCTAAATGACTTGCCCAAAGTTCCATTGGCACCTTGGTTGTGGCACAGTGTGTCTAAACCATGTTGATCAAACCGGTAGTTTTTGTGGAATCCTTAGGGCTAAGTGGATTCCCTGGGGATCTAGAACCAAAAGGCACATCTTAGAGTGCCTTGAGGTAGCCTCAGGCTAAATGACCAGAACACTGAAACTGAGCTCAGCTATCCTAGGGATGTCCAAATGTCCCTCATTCAGGCTTACCTATCTCCTTGTGTTAGAATTCTCCTAGGTCCTTATTCCTGCAATGCTGTGTCCTCTGTAGATTGTGTCTCCACATTGGGGCATTTGCTGCACTCTCTTTCCCCTTGGAGGCTTCTTCACACATTCTTCCACCTGACATGATCACCACCATGTGGCTTGTAGGGAGTCCCAGCTCCCTCACAACAGCAATATTCCCCCTCACTCACACTCTTTAGTCTGGCTTCAGGAAGGGTGCACTGGCAAGTCATTGGAACTTTGACAGGCTGCCAAGCCACTTGTCCCAGAGAGGTACCTGGGTGAATTGACAGCCTGGCACAGGGGCCATTACACTTGTAACGCCAGTTGGCAATCACTGGCTTGGCTGTCCACAATCCCAATGCAGCTGAGCTGCAAAGAAAACCTCATCTGTTGCTGCCAGAGCTCCAACAACACTGGCGCCTCTGTGACTACTTGGATAATACAAAGAGATCCTCTCAAGTACCCACTGATTTCCAGCTGAACATCTGAATAGCTGAACATCTTTTGGTGTTCACAGAGGGGCTTGATTGGCAGCCTGGGCTGTAAGAGAGCTTCACAATCTCAAGCCTGTTTCTTTCCAGCCATTGGGGGCTGAAGAGATGCTGACTCCACGAATGCAACCATTGCAGTGCAATGCACCGATCTGCAAAAGTCACAGCCAAATAAACGGCCCAAGGCTCTAATCGGACACCAGGGCAGCCCCCTCTAACTTGTTTCCAGACACCCAAATATTATAAGTAGGACAGCAGAACAGATGGAGTGCAGAAGCAGTCAGATTTATGACCGTACATAAGACATGTGACATAGTTCCTCTGTGTGGACACATTTTTCAAGTTACTAAATTGATCATCTCTAAAAGCCAGCTACAGTCAAAAATGAACATTCCACCAGTAACTCAAGTCATTTTATGTAGATTTTGTGTCTCGAACAAATACACTTTTTAATCATGTAAACATAGCTTTTTGCTTTACTTCATTCCTAAGTGAAGAATGGACAGACATACCTAAGTGGACATGCAGACTTCTGAGAGTGAGGGAAGAATCAGTAGGATGTATTGCTTAGGAGATAATTTGGTGAATGGAAGGGGCAGGGAAGCATGCTTTCCATGTTCCATATGCCTGACCAGGCAAGTTTGGAAACGCCTATCCCCAACCCCTGCATCTTAGGCGTTCCCCATAGCTAAGGGCTCTGAGCAACATACACCCTGAAGTACTGTACTCAGGCCATCATAAAGGGCAGTCTCTCTGCTTCTCTGCAGGGCTGCCTTTTCTCAAATTTTAGTTCTATTCCCCTCCTCCCTCCTGTGCACATAAACACATTCAGTGCCTTCACGTGGCTCAGAGCCATAGCAGATCATCATCTCAAGGTTCCTTTTTCTTCTATAGGATGTGATGGTGACATTACAGGACCGTCTTTCCCTGAGGTACATTGAGCACTTTGCTCTTGTCCTTGAGTATGCTGGGCCAGAACAGAATCACAAGTTTCTGCTTCTGCAGGACAAGCAGCCCCTGGCTTATGTAAGTAGCCCCTTTATCCTGGCTCGATGGCTTTGTGTGTGGCCTCTATGAGAGAAAAGAACCCAAAGTGCTCCCTGTCTGGAAAATTCCTAATGAAATGTTCTGCCAGCTCCCAGAACTCACAGTTCTCACCCAAGCATGGTACTTCCCACCTCCAAAGGGCCTTTGCCAATCCCCTTTGTGACCTAAGAAGGGCACGTAGATCATTAGTCTTGGTCCTTAGCGAGAAGAATAGGAGGTAGTGATTTCTTGCCCAGCATCCGGAATTCTGAGTTCAAAAACAGCACGTCTCCTGGAAACCTGATTTGCTAGCCTTTTCTTCTTCCTGGGAGGAAACATGACCTTTCAGATGAAGGCTATACCATAATGTTGTTGAGGGATGGAATCTTCTAAGAGTAGGGCAAGAAAGAGGTAGAAGTGGGCAAATGGCAGTAGGTCCAGAATAGGCAGCATGATAGCCATGTCACCTTCCATGATAGAACAGGGAAAAGAAGGTGATTGTGCTGGCCTTGGTTGTGTGTGAAGGCCAAGATCGCTGGGTAGGAGCTCACCAGCAAGAAATGCCAGGAAGTACCAGAGAGGCAACCAGGGCCAGTTAGTATTCCCGGGTAGGGTGGGAAAGAATTGGAAAAGGAAATTGGGGAAAAACAATTTTTTTGGAACCTACATGGAAGCCAACCAAAAACCAAAATCAGAGAAACATGAAAGGATTTTTGAAAAGAAATTATCTCTAAATATAGCTCTCAGCCAAACACAATCCAGAGGCTCATAGGTGGAAAGGAAAGATTATGGGTGTGCTGTTCAAAGGGAGACTTCAGTGCCCATTGAATCCCCAAGTAGCCTTTTGAAGTCAGTTGCGTCTCTTGTTCCAAATGAGATTTTACAGGTTGTTATTATGAAAAATTGTCAAACACATACAAAAGTAGAAGGAATATAGCATGATGAACTCTATTACTTATCCCAAGTTTGAATCATTAGCAATATATGGCCAATTTATTTCATTTATACTTCCAAGTGGGATTTTAAATGTCTCATTCGGCTTTTCATCAGCAACTTCATTTGGTGGAAGCTGAGACCTTCTGCCAAGGAAAGGCCTAAGCCCCACAGCAAGAAGCGTCTGAGAAGCTCCCAGACTCCCAGAAGCTTTCTTCCTACCTGTTGTCCTGGGCCTTTGACCTGATTGTCAGTAAGGTCATGTCCTGGATAAGTAATTAAAAAATACCTGTCACTGTTTGTCAGAAGGACAGAAAAGATCTGTCTCCTCATCACTTTTTGTTAGAGGTGCATTAGCCCCCCCTTAACTGTGTGGGATATGTTCCGAGAACCCTAGTAGGTGCCTGAAACCACAGATAGTAGTGAGCAGTATCCATTCTATGATTTTCCTAGCCATACATACCTATGATAAAATTTATTTTATAAAGTAGACATAGTAAGATATTCATAATGATAAGGAATAATAAAAAGGATAACTACAATAGATATGAATGTATGGTATGAGAGTGATTTAATGAATTATTTGAGTTTCCCATTTAATATTTTGAGAATCACAATTGATCCATGGTAACTGAAATTACAGAAAGCAAAACTATAAATAAGGAAAGGGGCTTACAAATAAGAGGGAAGGGCTGCTGTATGAATTAGTCAGAGTAGGAAATAATAGCTCCCTTCTGCCCAAATCCCCACCTAAAGAAGCCATCCAGGTAATTACCCACCATCCCAGTCATTGATTCCAGATATTTTTTCCCCACCCTGGGATTCAGGTGGTGCAACGGACACACTACCATGGAATGAAATGCCTCTTCCGAATAAGCTTCTTTCCCAAAGACCCCGTGGAGCTGCTACGTCGGGATCCTGCTGCTTTTGAGTATCTGTACATCCAGGTAGAGTCTGGCTTTGGGACACACAGACACTGGTGAACAAACAGGCAGGCTGTTCTGCATCACAATGAAGTCAACTATAGAAGTTTTTTTCTAATCTCCAGGTAGCTCTGAAGGCCCTTCCTTTTTTCCTGCTATTGTAAGTCATAACAGAATTGGCTGGCCTTAGTGACCTGAGCCGGCTGTGGTTCGTATTTCTGTCTGTTGGGCCACATGGATCGCATCCATTTACAGGAAGAAGCAACTCTGGTAACTCTGAACTGTCCCAGATTCCCAAGGTTTCAGAAACCTTTTTGGATTTCAAGGAGCCAAGCCATTAGTATCTATTTCCAAGGAGATGATTCCCAATTCACTTCATCCAGAAACGTTTTTAAGCATTTATGCCAGGCCAGGTCCTATGCTAGGAACTGGCAGTCAGAGGTGAAAAAAAAAGAACTATCTTGGCTCACTACAGTGCCTGTGTGTGCAAATACAGCAGTGGCAGGGTACATTGGCAGTGAGGACACCTGGGAAGAGGCTTGCCAACTCTACATGGGCGAGAGACAGGGAAGGCTTCACAGAGGAGGTGATACATGCATATACTTAACCTTGAAGGAGAAGTGAAAGTTTGCTCTGCAGAGATTAAGTGGAGGGGGCATATTTAAGTAAAGGACCTTGGCATTCACAAAAGTGTGATGCCTGAAGCAGAATAGCATGATGAAAGAATTGCAAGGATATCATGGCTGGAATATAGCATTTGAAGTAAAGGAGCATCAAGAAATGAAGTGGGAGAGACAGGAAGCAGGTGGTGGAAAGCTTGGTAGCCTTTTAAAAAACATTTTATTTTCATTGCAAAGGCAGATATACAGAGGGAAGGAGAGACAGAGAGAAAGATTGTCCGTTTGATGATTCACTCCCCAAGTGACTGCAACAGCCAGAGCTGAGCCAATCAGAAGCCAGGAGCCTCCTTTGTCTCTCCCACGTGGGTGCAGGGTCCCAAGGCTTTGGGCCGTCCTTGATTGCTTTCCCAGGCCACAAGCACGGAGCTGGATGGGAAGCGGGGCTGCCTGGATTAGAACCGGCGCCCATATGGGATCCCTGAGTGTGCAAAGAAAGGACTTCAACTACTAGGCCACCTTGCTGGGCCCACTTGGTAGCCTTTATGATTATAACTGAGAAGTAAGTGGTCCTCAAAATATCCCTGGACTAGCAGCAGCATCATCAGGTGAAAACTTGTAGAGATGCAAATCCTTGGGCCCCAGCCCAGTCCTACTGAATCAGAAGCCATGGAGCTAAAACCCAGTGTTTATGTTTTAATAAGTTCTCCAGAGGATTCTGATGTCTGAAAACCAGCGTTTAAGGAAAGTGATGCTTAAACTATCTGCACATTAGAATTATCTGTGAAGCTTTGGAAAAAGAATTCTCTGTCCCAATCAAGACTGATTAAGTAAAAATCTATGTGAGCTAAGTCCAAATATTGGAACTTTCTAAAATTTCTTAAGTGATTCTGATGTGCAACCAAGGTGATGAAATCCTGCTGGAGAAAAAAAAAAAAAATGATGAACGGAGAATGGCCTGGTCAGATGAACAATTTCTAATGATCACACAGTGCCAAGGAAGAACACCAGATAGGCAGCTGTGGCAGTCATCCAGAGAAGAGATGAGGGCTGGACGAAGGCCTGGGTGGGGGAAGGGAAACTCAAGAGAGATTGAAAAGGTAGAGACAATAGACTTTGACTTGATGAGTGCCTGATGGAGATGGTGTCATTCCCCCCAAGCTCTGGAGTCCAAGCAGTGGAATGAATTTGGGGTAATAATGAGTTCATTTGGGGATACATTGAGTTTCAGCCATTCCTAGGACATATACAGCATTTGATGAGAGGCAAAACTTCAAACTCTCTCCAGTCTCTGACTGTGACACCCGAGGGTGTGCTGTGAGACATCATGGTTATCCCCTCTGCTCCCTTCTGACAAGCTAAAATGTTGGGAAGATCTCCCAGACAGCCACGAGTTCCTTCACCAGTCCTCTGAGGTAGTGTGTTGTGATTGCTGTATGAATTTTTTAAGTTCACTTCTGATTTTATTTGCCCCGAATTTCTTCATACAAATTCCCATGGATCATGTTGGTTCTTGTATTCTGGTATGTGGTGACAAGACCACGTCTCCCTATCACTGCTCTTTGTGATGATATAGTCTTCAACTCAGTTCCTTTTTTTTTTCCCCCTATAAAGGGCTCACTGGGTCCGGAGGGGAGAGGGGACTGAGGCCTTCTCGGCAGCAGCTTTCATCGCAGCAGCCACGACATTGCCCATCTCCTCTTGCTTCCTCTTGGCACTATGTTTCTCCTTGCCCATTTCTTGATGAACGTGAGGGCCCATTTAGAGCCCCTGAGTGATGATATGGCACAAAACCACATGTCTCTCAGATTATGTCCCACAGGAACTTCGCATGCGAGGTGAAGCACCTCCAGTAGTGGCTGTCCCTTACCTTATTCATGTACTTGCACACTGTATTGCCATTTTTGAGGCCCATGTCACAGAACCATGGCACAGAGCTGTAAGGAGAGAAGGTAGAGCTGAGACCCAGCTCAATCCATGGCACCCAGCACCCAACATGCAGGCTTCTTTGGGCTTTGGGTCATGTTCAGCCATCTTCCAACCTGTGTGGAAACCCAAGAGTGTGAACGGCTGTAGATCCCAGCTGCCTGTTCATCACTGTTTAAGCAGCTTTATTGAGGTTTAGTTGATACACAGCGAACACCACATGTTTAAAGTGCATATTAGCATTAATCTTAACAAATATGTTCATTCATGAAATCGTCACCATGACCAAAGTATTTAACATATACAATACCCCGAAGAATTTTCTCAGACCCTTTAGTAATTCATCACCCTTAGCCCCCTTGAGAACTACTGAGCTTCTTCTTATTATTATATTGTTTTCATTTTCCAAAACTGTGCTAAAATCTTAACTTATTTATTTGAGAAAGAGATCCCCACCCATATCTTCTGGTTTACTCCCAAAATGTCCACAATGACTGGTGGAGTCATTCCTAAAGGTAGGAGTTTGGAACCCAGCCCAGGTCTCCCACATGGGTGGCTGGAACCCGGTTACTGGAGCCATCACCATTACCTCCCAGGGTCTTGAGTTAGAAGTTAGAACCAAATGAAACCAAGGGACTTTGATATGGCTCACATGTATCCTAACTGGTATCTTAGCTGCTAAACTGAATGCTCACTCTCATTTTTTAAAGAATTTATAAAAATGAAATCATACTGCATATATACTTATTTTGGTCTGGCTTATATCACTCAGCATAATGGTTTTGAGATCAATCCATGTTGTTGCAGGACTCAAACCCAAGCACCTTAATGAAGAATGAAGATGTCATAAGACAGCATCCCAGCCACTACACACTCATCTCTCACATCTCACTAGCCACGCACCAAGAACTGCCCACTTACATTTTGCCAGTTTGAGTACCTGCTAAGGAGCAGGCAATGATCTGACAGAGTCTCCTTTGTTGTCCTTTCCCCAAGGGCAGCACCATCCACCCCCTTTCCCTTGTTATGGTATATCTTACAGATACCATGATTCTTTTCTGGAACATCAGAGTTGATTCAGGGGAGCAGGGGAACAACGTCTCCTTTGATTGACAGCTTTGGCTTGCCCTGTCTCTCACAGAGTCGGAATGATGTTATCCGAGAGCGCTTTGGAATGGACCCCAAACCAGAGATGCTTCTGGGCCTTGCTGCCCTCCACATCTACATCACCGTCTCAGCTACACGTCCTAGTCAGAAGATCTCTCTCAAGAACGTGGAGTGAGTTGTACTGGGACCCCTTGGGAAGAGGGCAGAAGGTCATGTGGGAAGAAGGCACAATGGGTGAGCTATTCTATGGTTTCCAGGAATGTAGGTATGGCAATCAGAACTGATGTTCCTACACATGGATCACGATGCCTGGAGCTATAGCTTCTCCATGAGGGATCCGTGGCCAGTGCTCTCCCGATATCATCATTCTTGATTTATCTCTATTCGTGATCCTCCTTCAATCCAAGTCTATTTTACCCTCTTCCTCTCTCTGTCTTTCTTTGTCTCTCACTGATCTTTTACGTTTTTCCCCCATTTTAGGAAGGAGTGGGGCCTGGAGCCCTTTCTTCCCCCCTCCCTCTTGCAGGGCATCAAGGAGAAGAACCTCCGGAAATCTCTGTCTCAGCAACTGAAGGCTCACCAAACCTATCCTTCCAGTGGCTCTAAGGTACACAGAGAAGCCACTGGGCAGTATGGTCAGGCACTAGTGGCCACCAGGGGTAGTTTCTCAGCAGGCTCCAGACCTCTGGGAATTGCTGCCGCTCTTTGACTCAGGTGCACATCCAGCTTGCCTGGAGGTGCGAACACTCACAAAGACGAGTTTCCCCCAAGCATGGGCATCTCCCAGAGCCATCTCAGCAGCACGCACCTTACGGCACTCAGGGTCCTCATAGCAGAGAGGCTAAGATGCTGGAGAATATAATTCTTTGGCCTTTTCACCAAATAGTCAGTACTGATTGAAGAACACCTATCACGTGGAATGCATTGGACCTGTGGTAGTATACTTTTCCACAGAAATAACTTCTCTGTACCTCACTACATTTCTGATTCATCAGTGGTGCAATATGGAATTCTGGAAGACAAAAACTTAAGGTGGGAGAGTGGCAAGGTTTGGCCTAGAGAATGGATGACTAGATGAAATATCCAGGGTTCTGGCCACTGCTGCCTTCCCTGGCACCTTGTAGGGCGCCCTCTTAGTGCCTCCCACTTCCTACCTCCCTGAGTCCCATGGGCCCTTCCTAGGCTTGTGAGACTCAATCTGTTTGCTCTTCCTGCCAGTGAGACAGGAGGATGCGTCAATAGGCAGATGTAAACCTGGGACACAGTCCACAAATACTGTACCCATTCCACATTCCTTGCATTATCAACTAGTTTTTCTTTCAAGATTCAGATTTCCCCCCTGAGAATTAAGCCATTCCCAGCTTGCGGTGCATATTTAGACTATTTTTTTTCTTAGCTAAGAGCACTACTGATCATCATCATCCCCTCAGCTTGCATTTTTGAGACACCCAGGCTCAGGCTGAAGATAGAGAGGTGAAGAAGTAGTGTCAGTGAGGCACTATGTAGCAGACAAACACAGCAGTCTCTCCACCGTCCCCATCCCCAAACCCCACACACGCACACACAGTTAGATAGGTATGACTGCTCTGGATGCATGGAGGAGAGACACCAAGGCCAGCCTGGGGGAAATGGGAAAGGCCAAAAATCCCCATGCCTTTGATGCCAGAGCTGGATCCTCAAAGACAGACAGACGTGATTGTCAAAATGAATCAGTGTGGTTAATTGGAAGAAGACTTCCCCAGGCTGGGAGATCATGCTCTTTGTACAAAGACCCAGAGAGCACGGTGTGAGAATCCAGGGTGTGAGGAAAAATGAATAGAGTTCAATCTAAGTAAGAATGCAGGGAGTGAGAGTAAGGGCAAGAGGAAGCGAAGAGGTTGGAAGGAGCCAATCCACAGAGAGCCTTATGTGCAGAGGAAGGGTGTACTTCATCCTGCAGATAGTGGGGAGTTAATGAAGGGCTTAATCAGGACAATAATGCAGTTAACCTTATACCATTGAGGAGTGCTCTGTGTAACAGTGTGGGGAACACAGCTGAGGGAAAGGAGTATCAGTGTGAAAGGCAACCTGGCTGTCATCCTGATGCAGGTGGCAATGTCTAGGCAGTGTTTGTGGGACAAGAGAAGAGGGATGGGTAAGTTAGAGAGGAAATTATGATGTAGAATCAAGACTGGTGACCCTCACGGAAGGAGGGGCCTAATGTGATTTGCAGGTTTCTGTCTCAGTTGCCCAGAAGGAACCGAGAGAGGAGAACCTGAAAGAATAGGTATGGGATTTATAGGTGCTCAGTATTAAAGGCCCTGAGTAGGCCTCAAGCTGGGAGTGGCCAGCGTGCAGGTGTCTGTAGGGTATAAAGGATCTCAGGACAGAGTTATAGATTAGGGGCACTGTCAGAGTTGGGTGCAAGTGTTCGAAGTAATGTAAGAATCAAATGAGTAAGGTGGATACTTCAGGAATGAAAGTGAGGAGGTAAAAGGAGCATTTAGAAATACAGGTGGACTACGGAGGAAGAGCTGTTGAAGCAGGTACCTCATACAGTTGTTCCGAGGGTATGCTTGCATGGCACAGTGCACCTCGAGGACCAGAGCTTACCCTAGGATGTCCCAAATCCTCTTGGAGAACATGAATTTGCTTTCCCTGTGCTGTGCGGGCTTCTCATACCCCTGTGTGCCTTGTTCCCACAGGGCTCTGCAGTTCAGGCAAAGCTCCAGTATCTTCGCATCCTGAATGAACTTCCAACCTTCACGGGCGTTTTGTTCAACACTGTGGGCCTGGTCAGTGGGGCAGGGACAGGGGAGGAGCTGTGTGCTAGCACTTGTTCTTGGGTGGGGATTAGGAGGGGGGCAGAAATAGTCTACCTTCTGTATCCACAGGTTCAACATCTGCAAACTCAGCAATAGCAGATGGGGAATACTCAAAGAAAGGAAGCGGCTTCTGTATTGAATATGTACAGCTGTATTTTTCTTGTCATTATTCTCTAAATAATACACAATAGCTCTTTTTAACACAGCATTTGCATTGTGCCAGGTATTCTGTCATTTAGAAATTATTTAAAACACATAGGAGGATGTGTGTATATTTCATGCAAACACAATATTTTTGAAAAAAAAAAAAAAGAACTTGTTTGTGTAAGACTGCTTTTTGGGCACAGTGGGTTAAACCTCCACTTGCAATGCTACATCTCATGTCAGGATGCTAGTTCAAGCTCTGGCTGTTCTGCTTCTAACTCAGGTCCTGGCTAATGTATCCAGGAAAACAGCAGAAGATGGCCCAAGTACTTGGGATCCTGCTGCCCTCATGGGACAGCCAGATGAATTTAGATTTATTTTTAAATTTATTTGAAAGGCAGAGCGACGGGGGCAGGAGGTGGAGACAGACAGAGATCTTCCATCCTCTCTCGTTCACTCCCCGAATGTCTGCAACAACCAGGTCTCAGCCAGGTTGAAGTTAGGAGGCAGGAACTCCATTCATGTCTCCTATATAGAAGACAGAAACTCAAGTACTTGGGCCACCCTCTACTGTCTTCCCAGGCACTTCACTAGGAAGCTGGATTGGAAATCGAATATCAAGGACTCATATCAGCACTCTGGGATGCCTGCATCCCAAGTGCAGCTTCGCTTACTGCACCACAATGCTGGCCCCATACCATATCATTTTATGTAAAAAACTTGAGCATCTTCAGATTTAAGTACCCATGGTCCAGGGCCATAGGGATGTGAGGGCTTCCAGGAGCCAGTGCCTTGTAGATGCTGAGGAATCTCTAAATTTGTTTCCCCCTTCTTCTGTTGCAAGGGTTGCCAAACTTTTCTGTAAAGGGCGAGATAGTAAATATTTTGGGCTTTTGTAGGTGGGCCATACGGGTCTCCGTGGCAACTCTCAGCCCTAGCATGTTAGTGTGAAAGCAGCCAGGGCTAATGTAGTAACAAATGGTCATGACTGTGTCCAGTAACTATTTGTGGGCACAGAAAACTGAATTTACTGTAATTTTCGCATGTCACAAAATACGGTTCTTTTGGAATTTTTTCCAACCATTGAAAGAAAGTTCTTAGTCTGAGAACAACTCAAAAAACAGCTGGTCATCCAGATGTGGCCCATTTGCCACAGTTTGCCAACCCCTGCTGTAGTTCTTCCTGATGCTCCCACTGCCAGCTCCTAACCCCAGACTTCCTGAGTCCTTACACTGCCCCCTGCCTGCCCAGCACCTCCACTGCAGTAAGGGTGCTTGGGCCAAGCACAGCTGGTTCCACATTGCTAGTTTACCCTGGTGAAAGGAAATTCAAGTCATTTTGCTGATTGGATCCAGGTGCTTGTCATGCCCTGGGGAGCACACTGTCACACTAGCTTATCAAAGTGCCTGAAGGCAGAGAGAAGAGGCTCCTGGGGTGATGCTAATGGCAGAGAATGGACCTGCCAAGGACTCAGGCCTGATCATTCCAAGGAATCTGTCAGGACTACTTAGGCTGTCCAATCCATCAGATGCAGAGGTAGCCATTTACATACTGGGAACACTGAAAGCCCATTGGCTATACCTCCTCCTCCTCCTCAGACTCTGAAATATCTCACCCACCCATCACTGCCGAAATTTCTATTGGCCTTTCCTTTGGAGTAAGAACTACTGGGGTGCCAATTAAAAGGCAAACCTCTTCTAAGGGATGGAGAGCCTCATCAATCTCTCAGTCTAGCCTGAACATCTCAGGCAGAATTCTTCTGTCAGTTTAGGTTTGGGCACTGGGTGAAAAGTGCAAGTTTGAGTGGCTGGGGGGATTTGAATAGCTCACTGCCATGGGTGGAAACTGATTGGAGCTTGGTATGGGGTGGGTCGCTCTTTCAGAGGCACCAAAATAAACCTGACCCATTTCATGATTTTGCCAGAACCAATCCCGTTGCTCTATGCATAATCCACAGTTGAGACTAGGGTATCCATTTAATATGGTGATCTGTGCCCTTCTTCTGGAAATAGGAGCACCCCAGACCATTTTCTCCTCAAGGCTGTCCTCCCCTGGCATTGAGCCCCCGATAGTTCCAGACCTGCTCACAGCAGAAGCCGACAATTGCATGTCTTCTGTTTTCCCCTTGCCTCTTGTCTTCTGCCCTTCTGTCCTGTGGATGCTGCCTGCCACATGTGGACACCAGGACGAGAAGCAGTCAGCCACCACTCTGCTGGTGGGACCCCGACATGGCATCAGCCATGTTATTGACCTCAAAACCAACCTCACCACTGTGCTGTCCGAGTTCAGCAAGATCAGCAAGATCCAGCTGTTTCGGGAGAACCAGGGAGTGGCTCGAGTGGAGACCAGCATCATGGATGCCAAGGTGAGCCCTGCATCAAGGGGCCCCTTCTCTGCAGGAACAGGCCTTGGTGATGGAGGGTTAGGTAAGCGTGATTCTCCAGGATTCTGAAGTGGTTCAGACCCAGGGCCTCTTTGGGCACATCTCTGATCACTTTCCTGTCACTTCTCACCCCTCTGGAACATACTGCTTTGGCTACTTGCTAGGAAGTCTTCAAAAAGTTTGTGAAAATGTATATTCAGAAAAAATAATGCATGGGTTTCAGAATTTGGGGAAAGAAAGCCAGCATCTCATAATTCCATTTCCCCCTAACTTTTCAATGTAGTTTAAAAAAGATTTTTTAATTTGAAAGGCAAAGTTACAGAGAGAGAGAGAAAGAACTTCCATCCTATGGCTCACTCCCCCAAATGGCTGCAGCAGCTGGAGATGATCTGACTTGAAGCCAGGAGCTTCTTCCAAATTACACATATGGGTTCATGGACACAAGGATTAGGGGCATCTTCTGATGCTTTTCCAGGCTGTTAGCAGGAAGGTTGATCAGAAATGGAACAACTGGGACACAAACCGGTGCCCACATAGAATGCTGGCACAATTAGAGGGTTAGCCTGCTGTCGGCTAGGGAGTATCACATCAATCCAAGAAAATTCCTCAACACACAGCAAGGAAATTAAGAACAATGAACTACTTACTCTATGTCCATTGCTTGCCCCTCCTCCTGCCTTGGTAACACATGTGACAAATGATATTGACATGGAACTTGGAACTAAATGAAGCAGCACCAGAAACCCTGGCTACCTCCAGGCTCTGCCTGGCTGTTGCAGTGGCCAAAGAAATAAATATCTTGGTTCATATATGCATTCTGTGTGTATACTGGTTAGAGAGCCCTACCATAGGTAAATGCACTTTGAATCCTGGAGGCTTGGGGAGGTATCATGGGATGTGTACAGCACTGAGGAGGCCAAGGGAGAAGGGAAACAAGTAGCATCTTGTCCCCATTTCCCCTGCCAAGAGTCCAGCCTTTGCAGAACTTTAGAGCCTAGATAGATAGGTAGATGGATGGATAATAGATAGATCTATCTGGCAAGCAGCTGTCACCTGTGTAAAGTCTGGCACTGCAGTCAGCTGCCCCCTCTGTAGCTCTCCTGTTTGAAAACAGTGACCAGTGTGATTGGAGGGCAGGCCAGCTAGCCAGCTAGGAGAGGGTCTTAGAAGAGATACGACTTTTTTTCCTTAAAATATTTCCCTGGGGGAGACGTTGAGAGCAGATTAGGAGGTAAAGTGTTTGCTGTTTCTGAAAGAGCAACTTATTTTTCTATTGGTAAAACCCAGAAAGTTTTAATATGTTAATTTCCCATCTGTGCTTCACTGTATTCCCATTGGCTAGGAACCTGTTGGGAGCCAGTATTTAATTGGCCTGTGACCACTTCCTCAACCAATCGCTGCTGCCCTCCTTAGATGTTGCTGGGTATTAAGCCAAGTGAAAAGGGAGGGAAAGCAAGGCATGCAGGAGAGGTATGGCTTCCTGAGAAATAAAAGGGATTTAAAAACAAAGGAATAGCTTTCCAGCTGAGTCAGGAGTGGCTCTCCACATTGGCTGCCCTGTAGAATTTCCTTAAGAACTTTCAAAAATACAGGTGCCTAGGTCCTATCCCCAGAGATCAGGATTTCATTGATCAGGCATACAGTCTGGGTGTCAAATCTATTTTTTCTGATGTGCTTCTGTGCTTTTGCAGCGCAGGCAGTTTTAAAGTGTACAGGGTTGAGACCTAAATGACAGGAGATGTGGGAGGAAACTGGCCAAGCAAGACGCCAGTGGACAGTACCAATGTTTGTTGCTATGATTGGTGCAGCAACCGTTGTGGGGCCAGAAATGCTACCCTAGACAGACTACGTTCTAACTTGGGAGCCAAGACTGGCAAAGCACATGGCCTGTTTTAGGGACACATCAGAATAGAAATAATTGTGGCCTTAGACCAGAAGAATCCTATCTCCATGGCTTCCTAGCTGTATGGCCTTGAGAAAGTGTCTTAACCTCTGTGCACAATGAGAAAATGTGAATAAGCTATCTAAATGGACGGCTTGGCACGTAGTGTGTGCTCCATAAGACTGCTATTTTGTTGAAAGCCCACAATGTCAGTAAAGAAAAATTCACATGAAGGAATATTTATAGATAAGTTTGTGTGGAATGTGGAGCATTAAAACAGGAAGGAGTTAAACTAAAACTGGCTTCCCACGAGAGGGTGTTTAATCTGGATCTTGAATTGATAGGCATGAATTACCAGAGAGAAGTGGGATGTGTTCAAAGGCAAGGAGCAAGCACAGAAATAAGCAAGCCATATGTGCGGGTCGATAAGCGTAGTTGCTTGGCTGGAGAAGAGAATAATGAGAAAAAAAGATCAGAGAGATTTGTGGGGAGATGGGGTGGTGAGCAGAACAAGTTGCTTAAGAGCCTGAAAGGCCAGGCCTAGGGATTTAGATTTGATGTGGTAGAAGAGAGAGAAGCCACTGTCAGTTCTTGAGCTGATGGAATCTTGGTTCTGGGAGCAAGACTAATGTGAAGCCAGGGATGTGAGGAGAGGATTGTTTTAGTAGTTGAAGTGAGAAGAGGTAAGGGCCTGAACTGGAGAGACAAAAGTAGTACGGAGCAGAAAAGACAGATGTAGAGCCTATTGGATCACTAAGACATGAATGCATCATACAATGCATTTATAATGAACGTATCTTATTATACCTTATCCTCTTCCTGTTGCCTAACATATTGCTCCCAAGTGCACCGAAGAATGATGCCACATGCACAGCTTTCTGCCAAATCATGAGTGGGTAGACAGGGGGGACTGCTACATTAAGGAATAGGTGGAAGCTGTTGTGGGTAAATGGAAGATGCTAGGGTTATGTTTTGCAAATGGGAAACAATGAGTGATTAGATGATGTGAGATGCAACCACTAGGTAGGATACAGATGGTTCCAGTATGCTATTAAAACTTTAGCTGATGAAGCACATATGAAAAATCACAGGAGAATTATCTACTTTAGACCAGAATGCTTCTTTTTATAATAAAATGTATGATGTACAGTGGGCAGAGATGCTCATGTCCTAATCATCAGAACCTGTGACTGTGCTGTTATAGGGCAGGAGTGTCGGGCTGGGGCATAGGTTTGCAGATGGAATTAAGACTGCTAAATCGACTGACCTTAAAATGGGAAGATTAGCTCAGACTCCCCAGGTGAGTCCACTGTATTTGAAGAGTCCTTTTGGAGGAAGAGGAGGCAGAAGGAAAGTTCAGAGGGATATGATGTGAGAAGGACCCAGCCTGACTTTGCTGGCCTTGAAGATGCAAAGAAGGGCCATGCGTGAAAGACTGTGCAAGGCTCCTAGAACCTGGGAAAGCCAAGGAAACTGATTCTACCCTAGATCCTCCCAAAGAGACCCAGGGCACTTGGGGCTGGTCCAGTGAAACTTGTGTCAGACTGCTGACCTCTAGAACATAAAGAAAATAAGTATCTCTTATTTAAGCCACTAGGTTTGCAGTCATTTTTAATAAGAGCAACAGAAAATTAACACATCAGCCGATTGCTTCAGGTAGCAAGGACTCATCTAATACACTGAAGATATGATTTGATAGAGAAACATTCTGCTCCCACACAGCTTTTGTTACATAGAAGCAGGTGTCCTATAATCAGAGATGTCTGCTGCCTTGCACGTAATGAGCTCAAGTCCATGCCCTGTGGACTTGCAAAGCAGCATGTGTCTGTATCTCATTGATCGGCAGAGGCAAGATGGATGGTATAGTGGTAGGAGGGGAAAAGGAAGACGGAGGAAAAACAGCAAGTTTTCAATATAATCGTTCAGGGTGAACTTGCTGTTGCTGGGAAGCATACTCAACACAGTGTAGCATACCAATGTACTTTTTTAAAGGAAAGAAAAAATGGCTACTTCCCATCTTGGATGAAACAAACACACAGGTACATGGCCGAGGGCTGCTGAGGTGAGGAGCAGAAGCCAAGGAACAGGTCTTGGGCTGTCAAAGGCAGCCCCAGCTCCATCCACAATGGCACTGAGCCTACTGGCAAGGGCAGTTCTGTCACTCCCTGGAGCACTTCTGGGGTAAACTGGCAGAGAAGAAGCAGAGCTTAATGAAGATGTACCTCAGCAACACAACAAAGAGCTCTGGACAGCAAACTGCCCTGGGGTGGTACCTGGCCATGATGGCCTAGATGTGCTAGTGACAGAAACGTAGCTGCATAAAGCTATTTGGGGTTAGGAAATAAAACCTTTCTAATATCAACAACAGAAGCAAAATACACGGAAAGCCGATGGAGGTATCATAGGGGAAGTAACAGCTATTGGAGGTCAAACTTCTAGCTGGCGGATTAAGAACAGATTTGGGAGCTCCATCCTGAAGACATTGGCTTGCATAGGCTCAGTAGAATCTACCCATGGCATCTGTGGTGTGCAGAACAACCTCCCATGGGTGCATCAGGACCAGCTGAGCACATCCCTCTGAACTTTGCCTTTAGTGACTTCACACCAATATCTCGAAGCAGCAGGAGTGGGAGTATGTGCACCTGCAAAATTGGCAAAAGCTACAAATCAGAACTTAACAGAATTGGCTGTGACGCCTTTACTAGCACACCGGCCACTAAATAAGGTATATTGAAGGAAGGCTGTCTTCATCGTCATAAGAGGAACTTGGAAGTTAGACACCAGATTTGGCCCATTTTCCCCCTAGAAATTTCTACTGTGATCTGGGAAGATAATGCAGTGGCCTGGTGAAAATAACATTTTTCATTTAAAACTGTTAATGGCTCTGATTACATAGTGGAATAATGAGTGAAGATGTAGAAACCAGTAGACTCCTGGGCTCTCCTTCCCAGGTCATGTCAATCAGAATTTCTGCGACCCTATCACTTCTTGGCTTTTTGGCTAAGATCAAGTGTGAGGGTAGGGCCCAGGGTGATGTCCAGCTGATTCCAGCATGCCCCGGGCCCGAGAACCACTGTCTTAAATGATGTTCTGCCATCCCCTCAAATTGGCTGGCTATGCCTAATTAGCCTTTCCCTGTGCTGAAGAGACAAGAACCCAAATGTATTGCCCCTAGGACTCAAAGACCATTATCTTGTACCCTTGCCCTCCAGGTCCCCTGGATTCACATCCATTTCTTGTTTGTCAGGGATGCTAGAGTGAACCAAAGCTACTCCTGGGCACCAGGCAGGGAGATAAGGCTGCAGCATGGCAAATTAATCCCTGCTGTACCTTCTCCTGGCTGGCTTATGCCTCAAACTATGTTCTCCTTATTTTTTCACTGAAGATGACCTGAACATAGTTACAGTTTTCACTCAGCCTACTTATTCACAGTGGAGCAAACATAAGTATTCCAGTGTCTTTTTCCAAGAGACAGCAATCTGGGACTGAGATACCACTGGACCATTACCATACCCCATTATCATAGAAGTACATAAGGGGGAAAGGTGGGCCATCGAAGAAATTGTCTCAAAAGAGCTCTTGTGGCCCAGTGGGTCTCCTAGTCTTGTGTGTGAGCCTGATTGTACTAGCTCTTTCTGTAAGGACAAGCATGACATTATACCTTGTGATCATTAAAATTCCATTTCAAAGAAAATGTTTTTTAAAGTTTCTAAGAAACATCACCACCCTTGTTGCTTGCTGGCCTTGGATTTGGTTTTCAACCCCCCACTGGCAAAAAGCATTTCAGTATTCTATTTACAAGTTGCACTTGGCTTGTGCTGAGACCCAGGTGATTGTCTGAAGATGCTGTGTGTCTCATGCTGAGCCACCTGAGGTTGTGCTTGGCCCTCTCTCTGAACAAGATCTTGCCTTTGTGCTGCTTTATTACCAACATCAGGCTGTACTGGGAGTAAGAGGGGAGACAGAAATGAAGTCCGAAAGTTATGTCAATCATGCAATTAGTCACCTGACCTTCAGTCAGTTATTCTGCCCATTAGCCTGCCAGCCAGCCAGTTAGCTAATGGTTAGAATGTGAAGCCATTAGGTGTTCTACCTGTCCTGCAGCCAGTTTGTCTGCTAGGGTACAAAAAAAGTGAGTCAGACTGCCTTGTAGTCAGCCAGCACATCAGTCTGTCCATCAGTCAGTCAGCCACTTAGCCTGTATTCTGATCAAATGATTCCTCATTCTATGTGTCAGCCAAGGCCATTTCCTCATAGAGCTTTCTCCAGCTTCTGAAGCCAAATTAAGTCTCTCTCTCTCTCTCTCTCTTTCTCTAGCTCACCCCCCCACACACACACACATACACACACACAAACCATTGCAAGATATTCTGTGTTTCATTCACTCTGGAAGTTTTGCTTCACAGACTTGTCACACCTCATAGTCATTTTCACTAGTGCGATTGTTTGGTTCATGCCTTATTTCCCACTAGAGTATTAGCTCCATGAAAATAGGAAGTCAGTTGACCCAGTTCTGGGATGAATGGGATACAGCTCTTAAGTTAAAGATGCTTTTAGCTGGTTTAGAGCATTGCTGGGTGGCCAAAACATGGCACAGCATGTCAGCCAGAGGGAATAGAATAGGTTAAGATACGAAGATGTAAATGAGGACGAAGTCTAAATGATGTCACTTCTGGAGCATTAGGTGACAGACACTGAAGAGAGGAGGATACAGTCAGAAAAATGAAAAAATGTGGTTGGAAACATAGGCTGGGTCCAGGTCTTGAAGGGCTTTGTATACCATTATAAGGCAGTTGGGGGTTATTATTTTTTTAAAAAAGATTTATTTATTTTTAATGAAAAGTCAGATATATAGAGAGGAGGAGAGACAGAGAGAAAGATCGTCCATCTGATGGTTCACTCCCCAAGTGAGCGCAGTGGCTGGTGCTGAGCCGATCTGGAGCCAGAATCCAGGAGCTTCTTCTGGGTCTCCCACGTGGGTGCAAGGTCCCAAGGCTTTGAGCCATCCTTGATTGCTTTTCCAGGGCACAGGCAGGGCTGCCGGGATTAGAACCGGCACCCATATGGAATCCCAGCACGTGCAAGGCAAGGCCACTAGGCCTTGAGCCACTAGGCCACTGTGCTGAGGCTGGGTTTATTCCTTTTTAAAAGAGTTGTACATTTATTTGACAAAGAAGGAGGTGGAAAGATAGAGAAACTGTTTATCTATTGATTTACTCCCCCAATTTCCACAACAGTCAGGGTTGGATCAAGCCAGAAGCCAGAACTCCATCCTGATTTACAACATGGATAGCAGGGGCTGAGTATTTGGATCATCTTCTGTTGCCTTCCCAGGAGCATTAGTACAAAACTGGAGCAGAAGTAGTGCACCTAGACCTCCAACCAGCCCTTCTATATGGAATACCTGCATTGCAGATGGTGGCCTGTACCACAACCTTAGCCCCAGATTTATTCTTTAAGTGATAGGCTCCATTGAAGATTTTAGGTGACAGTGAGACTCATGCATTCCAGTGACCCCTCAGTCATGATGGTTGAGGTGAAAAGAAGATTATCAGAGACACAGAGGCCAATCAGAAGAGTGTCAGGGGTCCTTGGCTTAATGTGTCCCAATCTTTTTCTGTGTTATTTGAAAATACCACAATTGCTGTAACAAAAAGAGAGAGAGAGAGAGAGAGAGAGAGAGAGAGAGAGAGAGAGACAGACCTCCATCACATATTTATATATATATAAATATATTGCATTTCATTTTATAACAACGTTTCATAGACTCTGATGTTCCCCCATCCCCTCTCCGTGCCCTCCCCTCATGGTGGATTGCTCCACCTTATTGCAGTATTACAGTTCAAATCCAGTCCTGTTTCTTTCATTGCAAGCATTGTGCCATGCATAGAGTCCAGTATCTTATTACCCAGCTGAATTCAACAGTTTCTCGGGGATGAGACTACTTACGGCTGGCAAGAAGACTGTGAGACTGAGGGGTTCAGTATCTCAGCACATTTGTCATCTGATCACACATACCTGGACATGCTTTTAGTCTGGGTGGAAGGGGGTGAGGGCCTGGAATAAAGCAGTGGCAGTTGTGATATTTGTGAGTGCTCCTGAAGACAGCTTAGTGAATGGTTGGTAGCAGCAATCCATACCCAAATCTCTGTGTATCCTGTTGCTGGTGGTAAGTAGTGAGGCAGGAAGGGGCAGCTAACTCCTTCCAGCCAGTTTTATCCCTTTGACCTGTACTTTGTTTTATTTTTTTAACTTGAACTTTGATATATGTAGGCTGATCATTGTGTGGTGATCAAGAAGCATCCATTAACAGTAAATGAAAATATTCCCGCTGTCATTCTTACTAATGGCTCAAACCTCTTCATGCTGTCCCTACTTTGCCATCAACATGACCACTACCCTAAGTGGGACCAATCACCTAGCTCCTAAGCTATTGTTGTGGCCCTCTAGCAGGTTAGAGAAAAATTTTATTCCTTTTTTTCCCCCTTAATTCTTCTGGTTGTTAAAGCTTGGTATGGCAAACTCCAAAAGGTCACAGAGACCCACAGCCTCACGGCTCCCTCTTGAGCAGATCTTTTGTGCTCTTCATCTGGAGACCACTTCTTTATTCCTGGGGAAATTCTAGACTTCATTCTGACCCAAACTTAATCAAGCACATGGTTAGGATTATTCTCATAATGTAGATACTAAGAAGTGTTCTTGAAAAGGTGCTGGTTTTGATTTTGTTTCGAATATGACTGTTGGTTCTCTGAAGCAATTAACCAGTTAATCTCAGGGAAATCTGATTTTAGTGTTAGGAATGGAAATCAATACAGCATACAGTATTTATCAAAGTTGACTAAAATGGACAACTCTCAAAGTATTTTCCATGAAAATAGCTCCTCGTGGTCAAATCCATTTTGAAAATATGAATGTGAAGCCCTCGAAGCTTTGCAGTGCACTAGGATATTAAAGGATGTAAGAATTCATCTTCATACATTAACCCAATGTCACAAACATACTTGACTAAGCATTTCTTTTAAGAAGCACCAATCAGCATCTCCAGGCTACTTTGAAATGAGGAAAAGAAAAGAGAGCAGAAGATTTGAGCAAGGCTGCAGGCTGCAGAGACAAACTTGATTCCATAGCACCTGTTCTGGGTGTTGTAGCTGGGTATAACGATCTGAGCAATAACTCTTGTACCCAAGTTGTTTACAGTCCAGGATGTTCCAGGCTGTCCCTGAGTCTAGCCTAGTCTCCTGGTTTTACCCCAGCTCTCCCAGCTGCCTTGCGCATCTGCTGAGCTCTGAAAAACATGAAGACAGCTACACAGAAGGCACAGGATGTTACGTAATTTTAGTCTTTTTCAGTAAAGGTGGTTCATTGAATGTCTAGTTAAAGGTCAGTTTAGTTTTGATACTTACATTTAAGTGCTTGCTACAAAGAAATTCTCAAATCAGAAAAATCAGAAGAAACTATTCCCCAGGCCTCCTATTTGGGGTTCAGAGAGGATGTCTCTTATAACAATGCAACTCATATCTGCTTCGTTACCAATCCTCCTGGAACTGCACCAGCCTGGTGCACCTGCCTTGCTTCTTCCCCAGATATTCATGTTGCTTCTCGTTTCTCTTACAGCCTCTGGTGCTGTTGATGGAGTGGCCCGAAGCCACCAACTTTGCCTGCCTGATTGCGGGGTACTGCCGCCTCCTACTGGATTCCAGGAAGATGGTCTTCTCCAGGCCTGCAAGCCAGCCCCTTCCACCTCCAATGATAAAGGCAGGTAGGGCTCAGCCTCGGTTTTCGGTATGCTGGAAGCCCTTTAGACCCTGGAAGATGAGGATAGCTAGAGGGTAGAAGTCTGCTTGCTTAATACTCACCCCATGCTGATAGCATCTGGTTTAGCCAGAGCTGAGGCAGTGCATCCTACCTGGCGTATCCTAGTAGGAAAGAGAGCTTGCTGTCACATGTGTTTCTTGCACAAAGGATGCCTGTGAACACACATTGTGATTGTCACTGAATGAATGTAAGATAAAAGTAACAAGCAAGTAATAAATAGAGCCAATTATAGAATCACATTAAATCTAAGGCAAATCTTTAGAGATAATGGAGATATACAGGAGATTCATGCATGTTTGAGCTTAGTTGATGTGGTATTGAAAACGAAAAAACTTGTTGTTGCTGCTCATCATAGCAGAAATTGAAGCATGAGGCCTTTGAAGACTAGGGTAGGAAGATTGTGCAGGCCCAGAAGAAGGCTTGGAGCTAGGAGAGGACACTCATTTAAAAACAGGTTCAAGCGCAAGTGTGCTTCCTGGATGGGAAGCTGAATGCATCCATCCCTCATTGCTGTCCCATGTGGTGGGTACAAAAAGAAACCTTAAGGAAAAGCAGCCCAGTCTGGGAAGAGAAGAAAGTGATACAAAAATCCGGTACTCCACATACTAGATCTAAGCTTCACATATGTGCTTTAAGTACTCCCTGCACCCCAGCATCCAAACATCACAGGTAAGCCTGAGGCTTAACCCTCACCAGTCACTCTTGCCACATGTTGAACACATGCCCTTGCCACTTGACTATATCTTCTCTCTTGAAGGCTCCATTGATTTTCCAAGTGGAAATATCTGATCTAGATCTAGATTTTAGAGAGTAGAAAAACACTCCTGCTGGATGAACCAGCACCCAAAGACCGTGTACTCCCATACCACACATACATCCTCTCACTCATTTGTCTTTTCATCATGAGCATCATAAGCCCAAGTTTGTATCTCACAATGTTGTCCACAGAAATTAAGAGGTAATTAGTCAAATACCAGTTTGAGAATGAATAGGTTCTACTTGGAGAAGCAATGAAACTGACTTGGAACAGGAAGAAACGGACAGGAACAGGGGAAGGGACTGTGAATTGCTGCACATCTCCACGTGAATAACTCTGAAGATGTTGTCATACTGGCAAACCTACAGATGGGCAAATTCTTTGGAAAAGCTCATGTTAGTGTTGTCAGTGTCCCTTGTGATCCTCTTTTCTCTCCTCAAGTCCAAGTAAACCCTGCCACTTGCTGAGTAGGAGAGAGAGGGAGAAGGGAGAAGGGGAACAGGGAAGGCAGAAGGGAAATCCTGGCGCTTAACTAAGGACCAGATGTGGCAGCGAGGGTTGTTGGGGGATTGCCATTTTGTGAAGGCAGCATGGGGAGAGGGAGGAGACTTCTCTGTAGCCCTTCCCTGCCTGACAAAAGTTTTCTGTCATTCAATCAGCACTTCAGCCATTGCTGGTCCTCTGAAAATGGAGGCATCAAGTAAGGGACACAAACTTCCAGGATGTAGTCCTTGGGGCTGCCCTAGTGCTACTCCAGTCCTTGGGGCTGCCCTAGTGCTACTCCAGAGACAAATCAGTTTTATTGGGTTCTCTTGGAGCTAGGTGAGGCTATAGAACCCGCTCTGGGCTTCCTGAGAGTCCTGGTGGGCCCACTGCAGGGTGGCAGCTCTGCCTATCTCCAGCAGAGAGCCTCCACATCCATGGAGCTGTCAGAAGAGCTGCTGTAAGTTCTCTGTCCACCTGTGATGCTTCTGCTTGAGGTGACCAAAGTGGAAAGAATCAACTCCAGGGAAGGGGAAGTGGAGAGCCTTTGCTCTTCCTTCTCCTTTTCTGCTGGACAGAAAGACAAAAACTTGAATTTGGCATGATCTCGCCAAGCTCGTGGCTCAATCTTTAGGCTTTATTTATTGGTTTTTTGGACTGTGAGATGCTGGGTTGACAGCACCCACCCGATACTCTTTGTGAATGAGGTAGGGTGAGCCTCAGAGCATTGCCTGAATTCCCAAGCCACCATCACCAGCCCTGGCAATGCTCCAGAAGCTGAAATGTATATCTTATCTCAAAGTTTCCAGGAGAACTCACTTCAGGTTACAGTGCAAGGCCTATCCTGGTCTCATAGACCTGCAAGACAAAGATCCAAAGTTGAGACCAGTTGGTCAGCCCTAATGTTCCTCCCAGGACAGCAGCCCCAGTGCTGACTGTGGTTCCTTAGCAAAAGCCAACAGGGACCCATCATTCTCTCAAACTCTGCCAGGCTTTTCCTTGGCAGGGGCAAAAGTCCCTGGCCCACTTGGGCCCTGGTGTCTCTGCAAAGGAGGGCCAGAGCTGGCCGGCTCTATCTTCTTGTGCCACAGCAGATGTTGGTTAAAGTGGCAGCTGGGAAAGAGAAAGTCTCACTCTCTTCCACACGCAGAATAAAAGGGGAATGAGAAAGTGGTAGGAAGAAATTTCCTTTTGCACTGTGTCAGCACTTTTGCCGGACTAGGTATTTCACTTATTCACTCCCCAATTTTTTTCTGAAGGACTTGCATGCCAGGTACTGGCAATACAATCATGAATAACAGATATTGTGAGGTTTTTCCCCTAAAGACTTTTTTTTTTTTTAATTTGAAAACCAGAGTTGCAGAGAAAGAGGGAGATATCCACAGGAAGATCTTCTATTTGCTGGTTTCACTCCCCCGATTGGCCACAATGACCAAGGCTGGGCCAGACTAGAATCAGAACCTGGAATTCCATCCAGGTCTCCCACATGAGTAGTAGAGGCCAAAGTAATCGAACTATTTCCGGGTGCATTAGCAGGAAGCTGTAGTGTAAGTGGAGCAGCTGGACTTGATCCAGCATTCATACGGGATGCGGATGTTGCAGACAGCAGCTAAACTTGTTTCATGGCATTAGCCCCACCCATTTTGTCTTTATGATGCTACTCTCACATAGTTTACAATCTGATAGGAAGAATACAGGCAGGCTAGTGAATAGATAATGCCAATACCATAAGCACCTTTGCATTTATGTAAGAGACATTCAACAGGTACAATAGAATAGCATATAAGTTTGAAGGCTCTTGGAGCTAGTACTGTGGTGTTACACATAAAGCTGCTGCCTGTGACAGCAACATCTCATATGGGAGCTGGTTCAAGTCCCAGCTGTTCCATTTCCTATCCAGATCTTTACTAACATGCCAGGGAAAGCAGTGAAGGATGATCCAGTGCTTGGGCCTCTGCACCCCTCTGGGAGACCTAGAAGAAGCTCCTGACTCCTGACTTTGGAATAGCCCAACTCCGGCCACTGTGGCCATTTAGGGAGAGAACCAGAAGATGAAAGATCTCTCTTTCTCCTTCCCTCCATCCCTGCTTTCCTCCATATTTCTTTCTTTGTGGCTCTGCCTTTCAAATAAATAAATAAATATTTTTTAAAATTTAAAGCAAATAAATAAAATAAAGGTTTAGAAATATTCTGAACAAGCCCAGTACAGAAGCTTAATGGCTAAAGTCCTCGTCTTACAACTGCCAGGATCCCATATGAGTGCCAGTTCGTGTACCCGATGCTCCACTTCCCATCCAGCTCCCTACTTGTGGTTTGGAAAAGCAGTCGAGGATGGCCCAAGTCCAGATGCTTCCACATGGGAGACCTGGAGGAAGCTCCTGGCTCCTGGCTTTGGATTGGCTCAGCTCCAACTGTTGCGGCCACTTGGGGAGTGAACTAACAAACAAAAGATCTTTCTCTTTGTCTCTCCTTTCTGTAAGTCTGACTTTCAAAAAAAAAATCTTAAAAAAAAAAATACATCCTGAGCTAAATGAAAGGCCCATGCAAATGCCAATTCTCCATCTATACTAAAGTGGCTGGAAATTCAGAAGCACCTGCTATGTCTCCCGAGCCTTAACCTCACAGCATCCTTGCAGAATCCAGGAAAACAGGACTTTGAGAATCCCAGTTGGATATCAGCTGAAGGAATTCACTCTGCATTTTCTACCATGCTTAGAAAAGAGTTTCATGTAGTGAGTTCAATATTCTGGTTAATGATTATTATATATTTCATACATGGCTTACCAATGTTCATGTAGTTAACTCCAGCAATATGCTCAAATCACTAAAGTCAAGCTGAACATAGACTTTTTTTAGGGATTCAGAGAGAATATGAGACTTTCTCGAGGCTTCTAATTCATCATTGTGGACAGTGATCATTGGATTATACAATAAAGCTGAGCCAAGTACTAGAATGCTCTTTGAGTCAATGTCATACTGACTATGCAGGGTACTTCGGAAAGTTTATGGAAGATTGAATTAGTGGTGAGTTTATTTTTGTGTGAAAAGTTGTAATCTACATAAACAGTGATCAAAAAATTATGGAAAATGTACATTATGAAGCAATGTAGATTTTAATGTGATTTTGGACCAAAATAAGCTTATGCTTTAATCCCATTTTCCATTAACTTTTTCAAGTGCCCAAATATGTTCATATATGTAAAAATAAACTGTAATTATTTTAGAGCATAACTCTAGATGATTACTGTCCCGTTCTTTGCAAATGTTTTTTTTTTCTTTCAGTCAATCTTTGGAACAGCTGAATACAGAAGGACAGAGTAGGGCACCCCCTTGGGAAAGCTGATGAGCAATTTACAACAGATTTGCAGTCTGGCAGGCACGCTGTCCCAGCCATCAGTCGAGTGCACCTGGCTTTCCTGGCACTTCTTGTCTTCTGCCTAGAGGAGATTTGGGCTTCTCCAGGCACATTTTGTCCCAAGATCTAGAAATCACGATACCACGTTGTAGGCTGTGCATCACCTGGCCTTGACAGTCCATTGTTGGGGGATGTTTCCATCTTTCAGAAAGGGAAACCAGCCTTAGAATTCCAGCCCTTGCCTGAGAGCTGTCACCTCCTGCTTGTTTAACCATGCCCTTGGGAGACACCTCTAATGACAGCAACCCTGACTGCTCTGCTGTCTCACAGGTAGTTAGTGCCTGATGCA